GGGGGGGGGGGGCCTCTGGTCTTTGTGACCTGCCCTTCCCAGAATGGAATCTCCACCCTACAAGCAGGCCAGAGTGGGAAGGATTGGGACCAACTGGTGTCTCGGGAACAGAAGGTCCACCCTATGCGTGGGTGCTCAGAGGAGAAAAACCCCAGAAGCCTGGCTTGCATTTGCTGGGAACAGAGTTTCCACACCGCTGGGAAGGGAGCTGGTGGGGATCAGAAGTGCTGGCAACCTGTCCCTCCCGGAGACACGGCTGGGCCCGCGTTCTTGACACATGCACGCGGTGCTTCTCAAATGCCGCAGGCTGGACGCTCTTACCAAGATTAGTGGATTTTCTTGAATAAGTGTTTCTCCACTTGCTGTATGCTCTTAAGACAATTTTCAGAGGTTGTTTCTAAATTTTCAGCAGTTATCTTTTTTTTCTCTAGAAAGAAGGTATTCAAAGCTCTTCATGTTGTTCTGGAAAATGCTTCTCACCCCCCCAAAAACGATTTACGTCACCAGGTGGCCGTCCTCTGCGCTGTTATTTGCCTAGTCCTGCTCTAGCTTAATTCTGCCCCACTACTAAAGCTTGGTCATTCAGGGGGTGCTGGTGAATCTTTCCTTGGTTCCTCTCTAATGGTTTTTAAAGTTCCATCCTACGCAGACACTGTTGAGACAAAAATTCTGGTCCTTAGGAAGCTTTCTGGATTTCCCTGTTGGCCGCCTCCTTTCTGGTAGTCTTCCTCACAAATTCTAGCTGCCTTAGTCGCCTCTATCTTTTAACCTCTATCTCCTCAACTCAGAAAATTGTCCATGTTCTCTTTTTCCCCTCAGTGTGTGTGGACATGGTCCCATTTTTTTTTTCTTGCTTTAGGAGAATCAGTCCTGTGTTGACTTTTCCAATGAGTGAGTAGAGTTGTTTCATATGTTCTATTTTTTTTATTTTACTTGTTCAGAGCAGAATTCTAAATTGAATGGATAGATTTAGGCTCTGGAAAGTGCATAAAAAAAAAAAGACTATATAAGAAACATGCCAATTAATTAAAAATGATGTCAATGAAGCTGAAGGAAGAGAGATTTCCAGGACTGAAGTATAATCAATATTGTCAAATGCTTTAAAGAGATCAAGCAAACAGGGAAACAAACATGATTTTCTGTTCTAGTAAGTAGATAATGGTAATCTTTTGGAGAATAATTTTATAAAATTATGTAGACTGAAAAAATTTCATTAAAAAGCTGAAGATGGCATCTAACGGAGTGATTCCTCTGTGACAAAAGCAGAGGTGTCTTCATACAAAGGCCACTGGCTTCTGTGACATGATCACGTCATGGGGTAGCTGCTTACGGGGCATGAGGAAGCCTCAGAGGAAGCCACCTGACTCTCTTCTCTTCCCAGGTCTGCCATGTGTGCCATGCTCATCTGCTCCATGGTCCTTTGTCTCCTGGGTGCAGGTCAGTCCCTGTTCTGAAATTGTCAGCTCCCTGCTCTACACCTTTTGTCCATGTCCTCCGAGTCCGTCATGGGCTAAGTCTCCACCTTCTGTCTCCTTTCTTCACAGGCTCCCTTGATGCCAAAGTCACCCAGACTCCAGGGCACCTGCTCAAAAGGAAAGGACAGAATGCGAAAATGTATTGTGTCCCAAAAAGTGGACACAATTACGTTTTCTGGTACCAGCAGACCCTGGAGAAAGAGTTCAAGTTCTTGGTTTCCCTTCAGTACGAAAAAGTCTTGAAAAGAGAGGTGCCCAAGGAGAGATTTTTAGCTGAGTGTCCCCAGGACTCGCCCTGCTGGCTGGAGATCCAGGGTGTGGAGTCGCAGGACTCGGCCGTGTATCTTTGTGCCAGCAGGGACACCACAGTGCTGAATATCAGCCAACCTCAGTGCACAAACTGCCTGGGCCTGGCTCAGGAAGCAGGTGGGACGCTCGGTTGGAAGGAAAGAAAAGTTAACTAGAGCCAGCGTCCACCGAAGGGGAAATTGTTGCAGGGCCAACCGTATATCTCATGGAACCAAAACAAGGACACAGGAATTTCTTAGGAACAAACTGAAGGAAGTCCTGGAATCATCACACGGCTGATTTGACAACACACTCTTCCACCTTGTTGGCCCCATATTGTTGCTGATTACTAATGGTCTTCTCCATTTCTTAGATCTCACAGTGGTAGAAGATTAGAGATTCAGATGTCAGCCCTTGAGCCACATTGAAAAGGACCAGCGTGACTTTCTCTCATGCTAGATTACAAATCGAGAAAACAAAACAAAAGATCCTGTTGCACTCAAGAGCACTCGCTTGGCAAACTCAGCATTAGCCCAGGAGGTAGGGTTATTTTGAACCACATGGCAGCTCGGGGCCTATCACTTTGACCTTATGAATCAAGGATTTCAGAGAGAGACATCCTCTAACTAGGGGTCGGGACACCCAGTAAGTGTCCATCACAGAGAAGAAGGAAGGATGTTTAATACATTTGCTGGACACAGAGGACCTAGGAAAAGAGAAGGAATTAGAGAGGCAGTTAAATCCTTTGTTTTTAGAATAATGTTAGGCCAAGTGAAGACTCTGGTGAATTTCTTTTTAAGGAGTTAAGTCCCAGTAATGCAAAAAGCATGTCAATTTTAAGTGTGATGTTAGATTCTACAAAGTCACTAATTAGTATCTACGGAGCTGAAGGAAGAGGCAGGCTAATGTGTTCTCAGTGACAAAATACCTGTTGTGCAATTGAAAGTTGATGCAGAAAATTGAAAAACGCTCAGGCATTCGATCCAAACTGTAATGAGGAAATGTCGCAATATGCCCCGGGGATACAGAGCTCAAAGGACTTTTGTTAAAATTGAATGACCCAGCCTTGGGCTGGTTTGGCTCAGTGGTTAGAGTGTCAGCCAGGGACTGAAGGGTCCTGGGTTCGATTCCGGCCCAGGGCAGGTACCTCGGTTGCAGCTCGACCCCCCGCCGTGGTTGGGACGCATGCGGGAGGCAACAGTCAGTGTCTCTCTCCCATCGATGCTCCTCTCTTTCCCCACACCCTGCCGCTCTCTCCGAAAAGCAGTGGAGACAATGTCCTGGGGTGAGGATTTTTTTAAACAATGGGTGATCGTTCTGTTTATAAACTTGTCATTTCTACACCACCCACCGCGCGGCTTTAGAGAAGTTTACATACTCTTTCTAGTCCCACCTGCCCTTATTTCTGTATAAACTAAGCCCAGCTGTCCTACTCCCAGAAGTCCAAACTCACTTCTTTTCGTTCCGACCCCTTGAGACAGGACCTTCACCTTTCTGTGATGGCTTAAGTCCCTTTTCCAGAGTGAGCGCCTCTCGGTGTCCGCTTCTGCTTCTCTCCAAATCCAGTCTTACTCCTGGTGGTCCCCCCATTTGCTGTCGTCNTTACTCCTGGTGGTCCCCCCTTTGCTGTCGTCACAGGGGACTCACTCCTTTGAATGATACCCTCAGCTTTTTCTTGGACTATTGCCATTCTCATGAGACTATTCTCCTAAAGATTAAAATTATATCCTGATGCCCAGTCAGAGTGGCTCGGTTGGTGGGAGCGTAGTCCCGTGCACCAGGGTTTGATTCCTGGTCAGGACACAGGCCTGGGTGGCGGGTTCAGTCCCCGGTTGGGGCGCATGCAGAAGGCAGCCAGTGGATGTTTCTATCTCTCTCTTGCTCTCTTCTTCTCTCTAAGCTTGTCCTGGGGTGAGGGTGAGAAAGAAAATTATATATTTACTAGACCAAAGACTTATTTTGTCTCCGCTTGCTTAATTTCTTTGAAGCATTTTACAATATTGACTATACCCTAGGTTTTGGAAGTTTATCTTCTCTCAGTTTTATTCAAATTGTTTTTAATTAGGTTTCATGTTTCTCTTCTATTCTTTAATTTTTATTTATTTTATTTTTATGGATTTTAGAGAGAGGGAAGGAGAGAGACGGAGAGAGAAAGAGAAAAACATTGATCACTTGCCTCCCAAATGTGCCCCAACTGGGGACTGAACCCACGACCCAGGTACGTGCCCTGACTGGGAAGCGAACCTGCAGCCTTTTGGTGCA